AAAGAGTGCAGGACGTCGTTCTGAACAGAGAAAAGAAGGGAAACACTGGCAATTAATCTACCACCAGTGTTCCCTCTAAGCTGAGTTCGTGTGAGCTAGCTCACAGGTTTTTTTTGCCTCCGGCTCACCCATTTTTGTCTTAGGAAGGATGGCTCCAGAGCAATGTTCCCTCTAAGCTGTGGAGTCTTGTGAGCAAAAATTCTATTTTGTGAGCTACAGCCATTAAAGTTGTGAGCGACCGATTCGGCTACGGCATAAATTAGCTTGCTCTGGAGCCCTCCTTCCTGAGCTAAGACAAAAATGTGTGAGCTGTAGGCTAAAAAACAGTGAGCTAGCTCACACTAACTCAGCTTAGAGGGAACATTGCTCCAGAGCCAACTAGTTTATGCAGCAGCCAAATCACTCGCTCACAACTTCAATGCTAGGAGCTCACAAAGTAGGCTTTTTTGCTCACAAGACTCCACGGCTCAGAGGGAGCGTAGCCTACCCCCAACCCCAAATTATAAAAAAGGCTGAAGAAATAAAGATAAATATGTGAATAGCAAAACCAAAAAAAAATAAAAAAATAAAAACCAGATAAATTTCCTTGCATCACTATGCAAAACAGAATCTCAAAATAATCATAATGCATAGAGTGTTTTTGTTATCCATAGGAAGGCAAAAGATCAAATGTGTTTTGAAAAACTGGCATAGTGATCGTAAACATCCAGTAAGTCTGCTATTCACGCAAAAACATCTGAGTATCGTACAGGGTTGCCAGGTTCCTCCTGACCACCAGCGGGGGATAGTGAGATACAGTGTTCCCTATAAGCTGTGGAGTCTTGTGGGCAAAAATTCTACTTCATGAGCTACTAGCATGAAAGTGGTGAGCAAGCGATTTGGCTACTGCATAAATCAGTTTGCTCTGGAGCTGTCCTTCCTGAGCTAAGACGAAAATGCATGAACCGGAGGCTAAAAAACTGTGAGCTAGCTCACACTAACTCAGCTTAGAGGGAACACTGGTGGGGTAGGGTTTGCCGGATCCAGGCTGGGAAACTCTTGGAGATTGGGGGATGGAGCGTGGGGAGGACGGGGACCTCAGTGGGGTACAAGGCCACAGAGTCCACCCTCCAAACATCCGTTTTCTCCAGGGGAACTGATCTCTGTAGTCTGGAGATGAGCTGTAATTCCGGGGGATCCCCAGGTCCCACCTGGGGTCTCTATCCCTGATATCATAAACACTGTGAATGTCTCATTGGACCATGCCCAGCTGGTACTCTTTTTTCTTATTTTTAGAGGCTCATTCCCAATAACCACAGCATGATTGATTAATCCACTTAACTATTTCAATAAAAGTGTTTCCATCGTTCCCACAAGACAACACAAAACGTAAAATATCCTAGCAAAATTGGTTTGCCGGTACCGCCGGATAAGCTATCGATTTAGTTAATCGTCAAAAATATGCCCTGGGGTTGCTAGAAACTCACAAGAAACAATTTCACAAGATGAAAAAAGACATTAGAAAGCCTGCGGGGAGCTGAAAATACAAACTAGACTGAGTCGACAGTCACGGCAAGAGCCCGGAGAGGAATGCTTGGCTGCCCGTCTTGGAGGCTGTATTTTAGGTTTCAGCTCTTTACCTTGAGTCACCCCGAGCTGTTTGCTTTGCAAAGAATTTTGGACTGACTCTGACCTCCAACTGGGCACACTGCGGTTTGCACTGTGAGGGCGGGTGGGCGGATGAACTCCTATGGAAGACAGCCTATGTTTCCCCCCCCTCCCCAGTTGTATTGGGCTACCCCGGTCACAGGGCTCTCTAGTTTGGTACCGCCTCTCCCATCGGATGACCTGGCCTAAGGCAATCACACTTGCGGTTATAATTCCTCCTCGAGACCATTCAGAGCAATGCCTCCTTCTTTCGGCAGCCTGTGAGAGGCATGTCAGAGAAAAGAAGCGGCATCAAGGAAGCACACCATGCTGTTTACGTAAAGACGTACGGGTGGATGCTCTCGGATGGCGCCACCTCCCATCTGCAAGCCCCACCGAGATCCCTGCCCCTGACGATAGACCAAACTGGGTCAAGCCAACACAATTAAGTTCTTGTTAAGGCACTTCCTCTAATAAATAAGCTTCCCCATTGTGCAAAGAGAGCAGGAAGCGGGATGAATGAAACCGAACAGAGCTGGGCTGGCTGTCACCAAACGGGGCATGGAAAAGGCAGACACAGGGTGCTCTTAAGATGGGCGGGAAAGAGGCGGCCCTTGAAGTCGGCCTCCCAGAGACTGGTTCTTAGAGAGGAAGGTTGGCTCCCTTCCATGCTGGCCTCTTCCACAGCCAGGCAAGATGTCTGCTACTGGAAGGTTTCCTCCTGATAACCCTTTGCACATTCTTTCCCGCAGGTTGATATGTATGCTGGAGCCCTCTTTATCCAGCAGGCCTTGCACTGGGATCTCTATGTGGCTGTTATTGGCTTGTTGGTGATCACAGCCGTTTATACAGTGGCAGGTGAGTCTAAACTACTGTCTAATTGATCTACCCTGCCCTGCCTTACGTGAGCCGTTTATACAGTGGCAGGTGAGTCTAATCAACTGTCTAATCGATCTACCTGCCCTGCCCTACGTGGTCCAGACTAGCCTGATTTTATTCCTTTTGCCGCTAACCAATCCAAGCATAACTGCTTTTTCTAGTGAGTTCTTCCGCATGACATGGCCAAAATAAGTCGATCACAGTTTTGTATTTTTCCTTCCAGTGGCATGTCTGGTCTTATGGGTGCCAATGCTTGCTTGTTTGTCACCATTGCTGTCCAAGGAATCCGCAGGAGCCTTCTCCAGCACCACAGTTCACATGAGTCGATTTTCCTCCTGTCTCGCTTCTTTCATGGTCCAACTTTCGCAGGCCTAGGTTGCTACGGGGAACACAGTAGCACAGACTAATCTGCATTTGGTTGCTAGGCACAGAGTACTTCTGTACAGAGTACCACTTCTGTACATCTTTTGCCCTGACCTGATCTTGTCTGATTGTGGAAGCTATGAAGGGTCTCCCTTGGTGAGTACTTGGATGGGAGACGACCAATGCTCCCTCTAAGCTGTGGAGTCTTGTGAGCAAAAATTCAACTTTGTGAGCTACTGCATAAATCAGTTTGCTTTGGAGCCATCCTTCCTGAGCGAAGACAAAAATGTGTGAGCTGGAGACTAAAAACTGTGTGCTAACTCACACTAACTCAGCTTAGAGGGAACCAGGGCTATTTTTGGGCAGGAACATACGGGAACGGAGTTCCGGCTGGCTTCAGAGTTGGCCACGCCCACTACAGCTAAAACGTCAGTGCTCGTGGCTAACGAGGGAAGGCCTGGAGAGCAATCCCCCCCAGCGACGCCGAAGCAGGCAGGCCAGGGGGGGCCCTGGAAGGATCGGGGAAGCATTTAAGGGCCAGCTTGCCAGGCATCCCTCAGCCGTGGGGCAACTGGGCAAGTCAAGGGAAGACATGGGGGTGTGGCCTAATATGCTAATGAACTGTGATGTTGGGTGTGTGGCCTATTATGCTAATGAGTTTCTACTGTTGGGTGTGGCCTATTATGCTAATGAGTTCCTGCTGGGCTTTTTCTACAAAAAGAGCCCTGGAGGGAACACTGGAGACCATCAAGGAAGTCTAGGGTTGCTGCGCAGAGGCAGGCAATGGCAAACCACCTGTGAATGTCTCTTGCCTTGAAAACCCTACAGAGTCACCATAGGTTGGCTGCAGCTTGATGTCGCTTTACACACAAAAACACACACACGTCTATCTATCTGTAACTGTATTCAGGGCAACTAACAACACGGAGATTGAAAACGTAAAATAATAAACCATATAATAGTGAAAAGAAAATCAACAGCATTAAATCAGTAAACAGTTATCTCATCAGAAACTCAGCATGCAAATCGTATGAACAGTCACGGCGAGAACTCCTTGTTATGTTTAAGAAACCCAGAGACAGTAAAGCCCATAGCTGATAAAAACCATGAAATAGAAGCCTGGCAAACAAATACAGTCAGAGTGTTTTCAAGAATCACAGAGTGGGAAGGGGCCCTACAGGCCATCTAGTCCAGCACCCTGCTCAATGCAGGATCGGCCTAGAGCAGTGATGGCGAACCTTTTAGAGACCGAGTGCCCAAACTGCGACCCAAAATCCACTAACCCAGTATTTATTGCAAAGTGCCAACACGACAATTTAACCTGAATGCTGAGGTTTTACTTTAGAAAAAACAACCCATACATTAACTTAAGATGATCCAAACAAAGTAAGGAAAGCAATCCCAAATGCTTTCACTTACTTAAAATTATTTGGCAGAGAATTCGACACTTTAATGATGGTCTGGGCCTGGCTGGGGCGATGGCACGCGTGCCCACTGAGAGGGCTCTGAGTGCCACCACCACTGGTCTAGAGCATCCCTGACAAGTGACCCATTAGGTGGGGGACCCTTGGCAACTGAGTTACCTGTTGATGAAGAGACAGCTGGAATGTGGTTGTGTGAACGGGGTTTGACGCACTTCTGGTCACTGTCCCACTGAACACCAGGCATCTGAGGCTTGACTGGGTTCCTATTGATGTGAAAGATGAACATTCAGAAGACATATAGAATTTATTTTAATAGCTTATTATTATTACAATAGGGATACAGAAAAACAAGGGGGAAAGGGAGATATAGATATTCATAACAAGGATGATCAACATCAGAGTGAATATAGACCATTTAACACAAACATTTAAAATGCATAGTATTCTGAAGGTTTTTACATACTGCAAACATTTATTATTAAAGCCCACCATTTATTACCATTAGTTATTATTAATATTAACTGTTAGGCATTGATTATTACATTATATGCAATAATCTTTATACCACTATGGTTGTCGTAATCACACTATTTATTTATTTAATTAATTTATACCCTTGCCCTCCCCGCCAAAGGCGGGCTCAGGGCGGCTTACAGACATCTCAAAAAATACAATTAAACCAATTAAAATATATAATCATAAGCATAAATATCACTTATTTAAAATATAGTTAAAACAGTTAAATACAGTAAAAATGCTGGAGCATTATTAAGAGAATGGGAGCAAAATTATTTATCATATGCCTTAGGTGACCATATATAATAAAAATACATTTTTAAGAACATTTCTAAAAATAAAAAGAATAACAATAAACCAGGTTCATATAGACATCAAAAACTATGTTGAAAAAAGATTTTGTGGGGGTGCCCATTACAGAGGGCACCATCAGTATTCAGTATGGGATGAAGGCATGGCTCTACCCGAAGGGCAACAAGAACTTGTTACCATTTCCTTTCTTACCTGCCGCTTGGATTGAGGAATAATTTGGACCCAAATCTGAGTCAGGGTTAGTAAACATTGGCTTGTTGATAGGGCTGCCAAGTCGCCCCGGGGGCCCGTTCCCCGATGCCGGGGAATCGGGGCCCGGGGGGACCCCGCCCTGGCGTGAGCATCACCAGGAAGTGACGCTATGATGCCAGGCACGCTGGGGGCGGGGCCACGGCCATACACGGGAACACTCTATGGCACACGCCAGGAGCCACCCGGGAGTCCCCCGCGGAGGAGGTAAGTGCCACTTGGCAACCCTACTTGTTGAATGGGTGGCTGCTCGTTCACAATGCTTTTTCAACACACACGGCCACTATCCATCACACAGTTGTCCCCTTGTGTAAGCTCCACACACAGAATTCCCAGAACTTTTTGGTGACCAAGAACCAGGGTGAAGTTATGTGGAACACAAGGACTTTATGGTTTGGCCTCTTGGAAACCTGACATGACCAAATCCTGCTCCTTCCTCCTCCAGAGATCAAGTTCATTTGGTAAAACCAGACCGGGTGGTTAAGTCACTTTCTTTGTTTAGTCCGGACACTAAACCTCTCTTGAAGGCCTTCACAGGTAGTGATAAAATCTGAGATGAGCTAATTTTGCCAATAAACAAAATAATACAGGGAGTGGTGGAATTTGTTAAGTTATTTATAGAATGTTGTTGCATTGACATTACTTTTGTAAAGGTGACCTAAATAAACAGAGATGCTTCTCAAGGAGGAAGGGATCAGAAAATTTTAGCTGACAAGGAAATGAGAGAAGGCAGAGGGTGATTTAAGAAGGCAATGCAAAGCGATCAAGAAGAGGATGAAAGTTGCCAAAGGCAGGATTATTCTATTGTGGCCTCCATCAGGAAATGTCAACACTTCCTCCAATCTAATCTGAAGTGTGCACGAAAACTTATACTTTGAATTAAACGTTGGTCTTACAGGGCTCTTTTTGTAGATAAAGCCCAGCAGGAACTCATTAGCATAATAGGCCACACCCAATAGCAGAAACTCATTAGCATATTAGGCCACACCCCTGACAGCACAGCTCATTGACATATTAGGCCACACCCCCATGTCACCAGAAGTGTGGTCATCCAGCCACACCCACCTTTTGCTTCTTATTTTGCTTACCTTGTTTGTTGTCAAAACCCAGGGCCTTTTTTTGTAGCAGGAACTCCTTTGCATGTTAGGCCACACACCCCTAATGTAGCCAATCCGAATGAGTTTCTGCTTCTGGGTGTGGCCTATTATGCTAATGAGTTCCTGCAAGGCGTGGCCAACTTGAGAGCCAGCTGGAACTCCGTTCCTGTGCGTTCCTGCCCAAAAATAGCCCTGGTCTTAAAGGTGCCACTGGACTCTAACTTTGTCCTGCTGCTTCGGACCAACACAGCGACCCACCTGAATCCACTTCTTCTAACGTTCTTCAAACATTATTTCTTTGTATTGGGCCCTTTTCATCATAAGGAGGAGAGGTCTGAGTTGGAAAAGCTACAACTTTTGAATTGTGGGCCGCTTAAAAGAGACAGTGCTTCCGCTGAAGCAACTTCAGTTCAGCATCATCTGATGCTTCAGGTCACATTGATAACCAGGCCCCCGAAGCCTTGAGGTTTTTGGATGCCCAAATATCAGGCCGCACCCAAGTCCTCACCCCTCCTCTTCTCTCTGCAGGAGGCCTAGCAGCGGTGATCTACACGGACACCCTACAGACGGTCATCATGCTGGTTGGCGCGCTGACTCTCATGGGCTTTAGTGAGTAGCTTTTTTTTCATTCGGGATACTGTGTGCAATTCTGGTTACCACCCCTCAGAAAGGATAGTATAGCATTGGGAAAAGTGCAGAAAAGGGCAACTCGAATGATAAAAGGGTTGGAACACTTTCCCTATGAAGGAAGGATAAAATGCTTGGGGCTCTTTAGCTTGGAGAAACGACGACTGAAGGGTGACATGATCAAGGTTTACCAGATTATGCATGAGATGGAGTAGGTAGAGAAAGAAGTCCTTTTCTCCCTTTCTCACAATATAAGAACTCGTGGGCACTCGAGGAAATTGCTGAGCAGTCAGATTAGAAGGGATAAAAGGAAATACTTCTTCACCCAAAGAGTGATTAACAACTGGAATTCACTGCCACAGGAGGTGGCAGCAGCTACAAGCATGGACGGCTTCAAGAGGGAATTAGATAAGCATATGGAGCAGAGGTCCATCAGTGGCTATTAGCCACAAGGTATAGCTAGGAACTCTCAGGCTGGGGCCAGTGATGCACTGTATTCTTGGTACATGGGGGGGAGGGGGCAACAGTGGGAGGGCTTCTTGGAGTTCTGGCCCCACTGTTGGACCTCCTGATGGCACCTGGTATTTTTGGCCACTGTGTGACACAGAGTGCTGGACTGGACGGGCCATTGGCCTGATCCAACACTGTGTTCTCTTATGTTCTGGATATAATACAACAAAGAATCGTGTGGTGCCGTGAACGCAGGCATTCGTTGCATCCTTGTCTTTTGTGAGCCAACACTGACTGTGACAGATGCTAAGACTAGCAAATACCATGACAATATGCACAGAATATATATTTAACGAAAATATATTTAAAGAATTTTCAAATAAACTTTTTTCTATTTTAAGTTACCTATAGTAATTTAAGCGGACAGTTGTCTTAAAGAACAATGGCAAAGCTTTTTTTAATCAATGCTAAGTGCAAACAAAACATGCAACTCAAGTACAGTTATGCACATAAGCATTTGGACGTTTAGGTGTGCCATAGTATAGATTTCTCAATGAAAAAATTCCAAAGACTTGCCTAAACATATAAAAACGAAACTATTAGTGTTGAACTCAAAATTATTTTGACAAAGATTCCGAATATTTTCCCTTTGTTTCTAAGTATTCCTTCTTCAAAAATAACAGCTCTCTTTTGCATGGAGCAATGAAATATATTATTCAATCCTTTCAGTATAGGAATCCACGTAGATGAGGTGCTAACGTTCTAGTCTAAAGTCAAGTCAATCAGATCACTTTGCAGGCGATAAAGCCCCACTTACATTCAACAACAGAAGCAAGTAATCAAATGCAAAGGGACAAACTGAAAGGGGGCGGGCGCCGAAGATCAGCATTCCAAGACAAGGATGCTTTACAGTACAGAGTAGACATGAAAAGGAGATGCAATCAGATCAGGTGTCCTAGTTTCGATAGCAAGCACTTGTAGCAGATGCATTCTCACGGGGGTTGCCAGCTCTGAAGAAGAAGAGATTGGATTTATACCCTGCCCTTCACTACCCAGGGGAGTCTCAGAGTGGCTTACAAACTCCTTTCCCTTCCCCCTAAGCTGCGAAGTCTGGTGAGCAAAAATCCTACTTTGTGAGCTACTGGCATTAAAGTTGTGAGCGAGCGATTTGGCTACTACATAAATTAGTTTGCTCTAGAGCCATCCTGCTTGAGCGGAGACAAAAATGTGTGAGCTGGAGGCTAAAAAACTGTCAGCTAGCTCACACTATATATATATGTGTGTGTGTGTGTGTGTGTGTGTGTGTGACAGCAGCCATGAAATTAAAAGACGCCTGCTCCTTGGGAGGAAAGCGATGGCGAACCTAAACAGCATGATAAAAAGTAGAGACATCACCCTGCCAACAAAAGTCCGCATGGTCAAAGCAATGGTATTCCCAGTAGTCATGTATGGCTGTGAGAGTTGGACTATAAGGAAGGCCGAGCGCAGAAGAATAGATTCTTTTGAACTATGGTGCTGGAGAAGACTCTTGAGAGTCCCTTGGACTGCAAAAAGATCAAATCAGACAATCCTAAAAGAAATCAATGGTTAGACAGTGTCACAGATGCAACAAACATGAAATTGAGCAAACTTCAGAGGACGGCGGAAGACAGGAAGGCCTGTCGTGATCTGGTCCATGGGGTCGCGAAGAGTCGGACTCGACTGTGCGACTGAACAACAACAACAAGCTCACACTAACTCAGTTTAGAGGGAACACTGCCTGTGCGGTAGGTGGGGCTGAGAGAACTCTGACAGAACCTGCTCTTTTTCAGGAATAGCTGTGCCAGAACTATGGCTTGCCCAAGTTATGCTAATGAGCTCCTGCACCTCTTTTTCTACGAAATGACCCCTGGGGAGCTCCATATGAAAATGCTTATCCTTGATTCTGATGAAGATTGGAAATGTGACCTTACCTGGGAGACATTTTAGTTTCCTGGAAAGTTGAATCATCCACAGAAAGATATTGATATACCTGCTGCTAAAATCACTGCTTGCCAAAGCACAGAAAACACAAGTCACAAACCTTGGTGCCTGAATTTTTCCTTGAGTTGCTTTCTATGATGTTAAGCACCTTGTTTGGTGTCAGGACCCACAGCCAAAATTGGAAATGTGACCTTACCTGGGAGACATTTTAGTTTCCTGGAAAGTTGAATCATCCACAGAAAGATATTGATATACCTGCTGCTAAAATCACTGCTTGCCAAAGCACAGAAAACACAAGTCACAAACCTTGGTGCCTGAATTTTTCCTTGAGTTGCTTTCTATGATGTTAAGCACCTTGTTTGGTGTCAGGACCCACAGCCAAACAACGAAGTACACGCTTCTAGGAAGGTTTTACTTTTATTGAAAAGCCATAGATGCGATAACTTGAACATTGTTAGGAATGGCGGGCTACCTGTGCGCATAATAGGATATAAGGCATTCGTATGAGCCCCCCCCCCCAGCAATAACCAATTAGGTGGGCTCCCGCATGCGGGAGACTACCAGACTCTCTAATGGTTGCGAAGCTGGGAACGGAGAAGCTCCCACGGACGATAGACACCACAATCTCCACCAGTATAACTTTACAGATAAGCGTTGCAGCTTTGAAGCAGTTAAGCGCATGGGAAGGAATGCAAAGCAATTAGAAAACATCTCCACACTCATGGCAGCGTAGCTGACATTTGGCTTGTAGTCTGTTTTGCATTTTGTTGAGGCTTGTCTTTTGTCCTCTGACCTGGTGCACACATATGTTTAAGATTTATTCCTTTTATAAAGTTTCCTTCCATTAATATAGTATTTAACTTTAAAATAATTATCAGACAAATAAGCTTACCTAAGTCTTTATTTATATATAATTGTTAGAAATTGTGTTTTTCCACAGTGTATTTTGTTTTCTTGAGACTCGTTATATAGCAGGTCTTAGGTGTGTATGAGCAGGAACGTATATGAGTATACATCAGGCCTGTAGCCAGGATTTCTAAATTCAGGGGGTCTTTAAATAATTCAGGGGGCACCCCTCAGACACCCCCAACACCAAGGGAACACCACAAATAAAATTTAAAAATTGGAGGGTGTGGGGAGAGGGCTGGATGGGAAGTCAGAGGGGGCTTTGGCAGTAAGTCGGGGGGCTGGGCTCCAAGATGCCCCACTGTAGATACGGGCCTGGTATACATAGCTTAGGTGTGTGTACGAACAGGAGACTTTATAGGAAATGTATCAGAAGGGTAATGGGTAAAGAACTGAATAGCTTTACAGTACGAGACCACAGTTCTCCCTTGTTGCGGACTACAAATCTCAGCCTAATGAGTTCAATGAAATAGCCTATAAAGGGCCGATGACCAACAGCAGATTTCTGTCCCCCGTCCCCAGGCTTTGCCAAAGTCGGAGGGCTCGAAGACTTGCAGAACAGATACTTCAAGGCCATTGCCAAGAGCCACGATGGAAACAGCAGCTGCGGCTTGCCCAGGGAAGACGCCTTTCACATATTCAGGGACCCCGTGACGTCTGACCTCCCGTGGCCAGGGGTCCTGGTCGGAATGACCGTCCCGTCACTATGGTACTGGTGCACGGACCAGGTGAGAATCGGCTGGCTTAGTCTTTCTTCCAGCTGAGAGCAAATCGTTCTCCGTGTGCGACCTTAGGAGAGAAAGGAGGGGCCAGCAAGCCAGTTCTGAAGTACAGAAAAGGTGTGATGACTACCCCTCTGCAGCTTTAACCCTATATCCTGATGGGCAAAAAATTCACATCCTCTTGCATATGATCGGTTTCATTCTATGCTGTCACTCTGGTAATGTAAGAGCTTTCACCACACTTAACAGGGGTCTGATCATCAAGGGACGGGCTCAGCCTCTATGCTTCTGAAGGAACTGGTTGGCCACTGTGTGAGACGGGAGGCTGGACTAGATGGACCCTCATTGGTCTGATCCAGCAGGACTCTTCTGGTGTTCTTATCAGGGGAAGGCCTTGGCCTCTCTGCTCTGTTGTTGGCCCTCCAGAAGAACTGGTTGGCCACTGTGTGAGGCAGGATGCTGGACTAGATGGACCTTCCCTGGTCTGATCCAGCGGGGCTCTTCTGAGGTTCTTAACACACACAACCCTCAAATTCCCAAATAATGTGTCCCTGGCACCAGTCTTTGAGTGCTTTCTGGATGTTGCTCTGAATTCACTGCTGTCCTGGAGAGAAAGTTTTGGCCTTCAAAAATAACAATATGGAGCTTCCCATATGGTTTTTTCTGAAGCTGTGATTACAAATAAACAATGCCTACTTGTAGACATCTCAGTTTCCCTTTGGGGGCCTTGGACCCAAAATGTTTTCTTCACCTCCAGGTCATTGTTCAAAGGTCGCTTGCAGCCAAGTCCCTGTCTCATGCCAAGGGAGGGTCTTTGCTGGCCTCCTACCTGAAGGTCCTGCCTCTCTTTATGATGGTTTTGCCTGGCATGATCAGCCGCATCCTCTTCCCAGGTAAGAAGCACCAGGCGGGTGTAAGGGTTCCCAGATCCAGGTTGGGAAATTCCTGGAGATTTGGGGGTGGAGCTTAGGGAGGATAGGGACCCTCCAAAGCGTCCATTTTCTCGAGGGGAACTGATCTCTGTAGTCTGGAGATAAGCTTTAATTCCGGGGGATCCCCAGGTCCCACCTGGAGGCTGGCACCCCTGGGCAGGTTATGCCTTTTGTCCAGGGTCACCCATTGCGGAGGAGCAATGTACTCTTGGATCTATTCAAAATACATGATTAGAAAAAACAGCACAAAGAGGATTCGTTGTGGGTGGCTTGGGTAGCTGCTACACCGAGGTTAAACCGGCCGGCCGTGTCCAATTCCAGAAACAGCACAGAAGGGATGAGATTATTCTAGGGCAGGTCCTCACAGGGTCCAGGTGGAAGATGCATTTAGGAAGCTTGTGCTTTGTATGGCCTGAGGTTTTGTGAATGGCTCCTGGAGACACGCACTGGATCCTGTTCAGGAGATCCCAGCCCAGGGGAGGTGCTGCTCTTTCGATTAGGAGACAAGCCCAGACTGGCAACGGTTCTGACTCTGCCCAAATTTGGCAGGGGACAATACATGAACGAGGGCTACACTTTAGGTTTTTGTGCGGTCATTCCTGTATGCTCCTGGTTTGTGATGGCTTTCCTTCTGATCTCTGAAGCTCTCCTCCTCTGTTTGGTCTTAAAGCCCTATTTGTTTTTTAATTGCATTCCATTGGCAGACCTGGTGGCCTGCGCTGATCCGACCACCTGCAAACAAATCTGCGGCAACCCGTCTGGATGCTCTGACATTGCTTATCCGAAACTCGTCATTGAACTTCTGCCAATAGGTAAGGGGCGGCTCTGTGACTGGAAGGGCCTTGGGAACAGCCAAGGAAGCGGCGGCCAGTGTGTCCGTGGAGCTGATGAACGACTCAGAGCTCCCCATTCCCATTTTGCAGGATTCTTCCGCTGGAATCTAGTTCATTTCCAGGCACTTTCAACCTTTCCAGTTCTGATTGGCCCAGGATACCTTAAGGCCCGCCTTCTCTGTCTAAACATACCTGTGCATTAAGGTTTATTCACTGCTGTCTATACTCCACCGTTCTCCTTAATGGGGACTTGAGGTGGCTTACATTGCTCTTCTCTCCTTCATTTTATCCTCACACTACGGTCTGTGAACCAGTGTCTTCCGGTGGTCCTCGGCCCCAGAGACGTCTGTCTTGCCTCAACGAGGGCCAGGGCTTTCTCATCCCTGGCCCCTACCTGCTGGAAGAAGCTTCCCTATGAGATCAGGGCCCTTCGAGACCTTTTACTGTTCCGCAGGGCCTGCAAGACAGAGCTCTTCCGCCAGGCTTTTAGCTGAGGCAGCGGGTGTCCATGCCTTATTGGGCCTCCCCTCCAGTGACCCAGATCTGAGTAAACATCTGGAACCCCAACTTGTGTTAGACCTCATCTATTGAGGTTCTGGTTGGGAATATTGGAATTACAATTTGTCTTTAATCTTGACGTGTTTTAATTGGTTTTAACTGTTATTTGTATATTTATGTGATTGTTTATTTTATATGATGGAAGCCGCCGTGAGAGCCAGTTTGGTGTAGTGGTTAAGTGCTGAGCCAGTTTGGTATAATGGTTAAGTGCGCGGACTCTGATCTGGGAGAACGGGGTTTGATTCCCCACACCTCCACTTGCACCTGCTGGATGACCTTGGGCAAGCCATAGTTCTGGCACAGCTGTTCTTGAAAAAGAGCAGTTTCTGTCAGAGCTCTCTCAGCCCCACCTACCTCACAGGGTGTCTGTTGTGGGGAGGGGAAGGGAAAGGAGTTTGTAAGCCGCTCTGAGACTCCTTTGGGTAGTGAAGGGCGGGGTATAAATCCAATCTCTTCTTCTTCTATGCAGGGAGGGCAGGATATAAAAAATATCTCTATATAATAATTCTGTTTTGGTCATGGACTCTCCTGAATATTCCACATGCTCCCAAATCACTTGGGTCCCTGATCTGTCACTCAGAAGCCCAGTTCAGTTCAAAGTTTATTGCGTGTATCCAATGGCCATCACAGTATGAAAGATAAAAAAACAGTACAAAGATTGACAATACATTTAAAAGAAAATTAAAATATATAGATGAAGTATGAATATTTTTTAAAATCAGGTTTCTCAGGTAGCACATTCTGAATGTACAGTCATTCCATAGCCTTATCTCTTAATTTTCCTTGCAGCGTGAGCATAGAGTGCCATTCTATAGGAGATAGTGGGATTGACGTCTGAGAGCAAAAAGGTTACTATTTCAATGCCTGATGTGGATTGTAAAGTTGTTTGGGACTGGGTTAAGAAATTTGATTCTGGGGCCAGTATACAGAGGGCATTCTAAAATGTAATGTGTTAGATCTTCTACCGAAAGGCGGCACCCTAATCGAAAGCCTGGTGGAAGAGCTCTGTTTTGCAGGTGCTCAAGAGGTGACACAGACTTCAGAGTTACCCTTCTCGGTGGCACGGGTGCTTGGTTCAGGCTAAGACTCGTGACCTCCCGCAGGCCGGCTCAACAGTGCCTTCTCTTTCTGGCTTCCAGGTCTCAGGGGGCTCATGATGTCCGTCATGATCGCAGCACTGATGTCCTCTTTAACCTCCATCTTCAACAGCGCCAGCACCATTTTCACCATGGACCTCTGGCGGCATTTCAGGCCCCTGTCCTCGGAATGGGAACTGATGATTGTTGGCAGGTGAGGCACACCGCCCATGGGACACCACCAGAAAACCTCTGGGTCTTCCGTGTCCCAGCAGATCTGCTTGTTTTCACCATCTGGTATTTTAGATCTGAACAGATCCAACTGAGAAAGTTCAAGATGGGTCACCATGCTAGTCTGTCTGTAGCAGTAGAAAAGAGCAGGAGTCCAGGAGCACCTGAAAGACTAACAACATTTGTGGCAGGGGAGGAGCTTTCGGGAGTCACTGATCACTTCTTCAGATAGCTGAAGAATATAGATCAACCTGTAGATATAGACCATGTAGATCAAGATGGGTGTGACCATGTTTGTCTGTAGCAGTAGAAAAGAGCAAGAGTCCAGGAGCACCTTAAAGACTAACAAAATATGTGGCAGGGTATGAGCTTTTCTGGGTTACTGCTCACTTCTTCAGATACATATATCATTTAACCTCAGGTAGTGAATCTGCTTTGTGCAAAAGTCACAGAAGGCTTCTGGCAGTGTTATTCCAAACTGTTTTCATCTTTCTACATTGATTTGTCTGCCAAGGATTCCCTGTGCCATGTAGAAGATTCTGGGGCATGGTCCATGTTGCATGAAGAGCTCACATAACACAGTGGCCAGCCCCTATCGGGCCTCGTTGTTGCCCTGCATGGACACTAGGCACCTTGGAAGAGACCCTGACACTCTCTAGGGCTGTGCATTACAGGATATCAGCCATGGTAGGCAGGCTGGTTGTAAAGGAAGCCCGTCTGCCATTACCAATTTTCTCTCTCTCTCTCTTTTTTAATAATATTTATTTTATCCAGGGGTCGTTTTGTAGAAAAAGAGCTAGGGGAACTCATTAGCATAACTCATTAGCATATGCCACACCCCCTGACATCAGGGGCCCGGCGGTGGACCTGCAAGGCCGGCGGGAGTGCGAGGAAGCCCCGCCAAGGCCCTCCTTGGCCCCAGGCAGGCAGGGGTGGGGAGAGGCGGGGAGGAAGCAACTTACCCTCCCTCTTCTCCTTCCTCCTCCTGGCTGAATGAGAGCCGGAAGCAGGGCGGCCGGAAGCAGAAGGCGGGGCTTCATCATGTGCCCCGCCCCCCCACACCTCACCCGGGGGAACTGTGATCCCCCGCGATCACCCCCAAATCGACCTCTGATTTTATCACAAATCAACATACAAAACGAACAAAGACACACAAACATCTATTACATAGAAATTGGGGGTCTTCTGAATCTTTGTAATAATAATCTGTTCAAATTACTTCTTATAGTATCCAGTTGGTTATAAAATATATATACCATAAAGCTAAAAAATCTTTTATCCATAAAGTCTGCATATATTTGTAGATAATATCTCTAATATCTCTAATGTATGTAATGGAGTTATATAGTTCATTTGTTGTAGTCTTCCAGCCAAGTATAAAATCTTGACCATGCATTGTAAAATTTTTCTTCTTGTCCTCTCAAAAATAAGGTTAATTTGTCCATCTCTGCTGTTTCCAAAAATTTTACTTATAATTTCTTGTGGGGAAATCAGTGATAAGCCCCCGAGGAATCCCAAATTCCTTGGACGCAGTTTAGAAACGCAGTTTTTGAGAGTGAGCAAAAGAGTTTTTGAGAGTGAGCTTTTTTTGAAAACTGCTGAGAGCAGAGGCAAGAGAGGGCTGTATAGCCAAAGGCGCTCCCCCAGCGACAGGAATTTCCATTCACATGAGGACTAGTGTCTCTTAGGGCTTCAATGAACGAATAAAAATTTCAATGAGCGGAAAAGCAACTTTTGCAGAGGAAAGTTCCGTACAGCGGAAAAAGGGTGGCACAAGGCTAAGGACCCAGGCCTGAGTCACAGAACGAACTGCAAAAACGGAGCAAGCAGTCACCAGCAATGCTCCCTCTAAGCTGTGAAGTCTTGTGAGCAAAACTTCTGCTTTGTGAGCTACTGGCATTAAAGTGGTGAGCGAGCGATTTGGCTGCTGCATAAATTAGTTTGCTCTGGAGCCCTCCTTCCTGAGCTCAGACGAAAATATGTGAGCCGGAAGCTAAAAAGCGGTGAGCTAACTCACACTAGCTCAGCTTAGAGGGAACACTGGTCACCAGGACTTTCTCCATGCTGCAGGGTGTTTGTCCTGATCCTCGTAGTCGTGTCTATCCTCTGGATCCCGCTGGTACAAGCCAGCCAGGGCGGGCAGCTCTTCATTTACATCCAGACCATCAGCTCTTACCTGCAGCCTCCGGTGGCCATCGTCTTCATCTTGGGGTGCTTCTGGAGGAGAACGAATGAAAAGGTAACGCTCTGGGTGGCCAGAGGGCAAAGGCACAGGGCACGGGGTCGCCAGGTCCAGGTTGGGAAATTCCTGAAGATTTTTGGGGTCAAACCTGGGGACAGCAGGGTTTGGGGAGGTGAGGGACCTCGGCAGCATAGAATTCCAAGGAGTCCACTTTCCAAAGTGGCCATTTTCTCCAGGCGAACTGATTCCATTCAATTTGCTCTGGTTAGACCTCACCTAGAGTATTGGGTTCAGTTTTGGGCACCACAGTTTAAGAAGGACATAGACAAGCTGGGACCAGAGGGGGGCAACAAAGATGATGAGGGGTCTGGAGACCAAGTCCTGTGAGGAAAGGCTGAAGGAGCTAGGGCTGTGTAGCCTGGAGAAGAGATGACTGAGAGGGGACATGATCACCATCTTCAAGTACTCGGAGGGCTGTCCTCTAGAGGGTGGTGCGGAGTTGTTTTCTGTTGCCCCAGAAGGTTGGATCAGAACCAGTGGGTTGAAATTAAATCAGAAGAGTGTTTGGCTAAACATCAGGAAGAACTTCCTGACAGAGCCGTTCCTCAGGGGAACAGGCCCCCTTGGGAGGTGGTGGGCTCTCTTTCTTTGGAGGTTTTCAGACAGAGGCTAGATGGCCATCGGACAGTGATGCAGATTCTGTGAACATAGGCAGATCGTGAGAGGGAGGGCAGGAAGGGTTGCATCAGGGCTTAGTTCTGGTGGCCCTCTCTTACAAACCCGGGGAAATGCTGATTGCCACTTCGGGGTCAGGAAACAATCCTGGAGGTTTTTTGCCATCTTCTAGGTGTGGAACAGCGGTCACTACGGGTGTGGGGGAGGAGGTATTTGTGAATTTCCTGTATTGTGCAGGGGGTTGGACTAGATGACCCTGGAGGCCCCTTCCAACTCTATGATTCTATGCTCTCCATGGCCTGGAACCAGTTGTTATCCCAGGAGATCTCCAACCACCACTGGGAGGTTACAACCCTACACATGGGGCGTGGGGCAGTGCTTCCTGGCTTCTTATTCCAGCATGGCTTTGTTCTTTTCTCCAGGGTGCATTCAGTGGCCTGCTAGTCGGCATGGTAATGGGCCTGATCCGGATGGTACTGGATTTTGTCTACCTGCTGCCACGGTGCGATGAGCCGGACAACCGGCCGGCCGTGGTGAAATACGTTCACTATCTCTACTTCTCCATCATCCTGTCGTTCGTCACGCTGGTCGTGGTGGTGACGGTCAGCCTCCTGACAGAGCCTCCTCCGGAACAGATGGTGAGGAGGACCGCCCAGTTGTCATAGCCACTTGTCTTTTCGATATATGTCCTCTCTCAGGGTCCCTCAGAGCTTTCCCCAGGCCTGGAGCAAAACAGTTAACCTCACTATGAGATAGTTTCAGAGGGTAGCTATGTCGGTCTTCAGTCAAAGAGCTGGGTTCAAGTCCAGGAGCACCCTGGAGACCAACGAGATTTTCGGGGTACCAGCGTTGAAGAGTCAAAGCCTCCCCTTTGTCAGATGCAAGTAGGAATGGAGATCCCTGAGTCCTTATAGCCCAGCCAGATGGTGGGAGAGGAGCTACAAAGAAAAAAGTAAGGATCAGGCCCGTAGCCAGGATTTTGTGGCTTGTGGGGCAAATTATTTTTCTGGTGGGGCTGAAGTTCTCAGTGCAGAAAGGAAAGCCATTCAGCCAATAGAAAGCTGTGACCAGGATAGATCTCTAAATTGCAAGCTGTCAGCCACTTGAGATGACAGCTCTCAGCTGCTGCAAGTTAATCACTTCTGCCAGCCTAAGCAACAGTTCTGAGAACAAGCTGGCAGGTGGGGGTGACGACTTCTAGAGTCAAGAAAGCCAACACTTGGGCAGAAAAACTCTCTGAAAGGAGATCACTGCTTCTGGCCCCACTGCTGGACCTCCTGATGGCACCTGGTATTTTTGGTCACTGTGTGACAGAGTGTTGGACTAGATGGGCCATTGGCCTGATCCAACACTGGCTTCTCTTATGTTCTTATGTAGACCAGTTTCTTGACACAGAGTTAGAAGGTATCCTAGAGGTCACCTACTCCATGTCCCCCAGAGAGCACAACGATGGGGGTCCCAAAACTGTCTGGCCCTGCCAGGCCCCAGAGAAGCCAGGCTAGCTGTGACAAGAGCCATGGCCTTCTCAGTGGCGGCTCTGTACTGGTGGAATGAGCTCCCAAAAGACATCAGGGCCCTGTGGGACCTATTACAATTCTGCAGGGCCTGCAAGGCAGAGCTCTTCCACCAGGCCTTCGACTAAAGAGCCGCACCATACAACTGAGACCCTGGCCCCAATATTAACATCAATATTAACGTCAACAGCATTATTAACAGCTGACATAACCCAGGCTACGACAGGAGCTGACTGCCTGTTCGTTGGATGCTATTTATGCCCGCTGCTGTGTATGAATTATCTTCGCACTAGCGCTTTGCAATGTTTTTATCTTTGTAACGATTCTATCTAAATTTGTTTTAGCTATCCTATGTAAGCCGCCATGAGCCTGCCACGTCGGGAAGGCCAGGATATAAATCAAATAATTAAAACCTTTAAATTAAAATTTTAAAAAACCCTTGCTCAGTGCGGGAATTAGTCAACTACAGTACCCCACTCTGCTTAAAGGAGTGCATACATTTTAAAAATGTTTTAAAATGATTGGAAAAGGCATTTACAGGATATATTCTTGTGCGGCTGTGCCTTTAAGAAAGGGGGCGGAACCCCCAAAAGCCCATCTGTAGCTACAGGCCTGGTAAGGATGCAAAGGTACGATACAGAATGACAGTGACCACAGAAACACGAACAAGTGCCCCTGTTATTATGCCCCAGAGGTCGCTGAGCAAACCTGGGTAGTCCGCAAAGGGGAAGCCGCTCTGTTTCACCAGCTCTTTCCGTGCCAATAGGTCAGCCGTCTAACGTGGTTCACCCGCAAGGACGTCCCGGCAGTGAAGGACCCCGAAGGCTCCGGAAGCCCGTTTCCCAACTCTGCCGCCGGAACCCACCAGGTTCCCCCTCCTCTGGCAATGCAGCTCACCATGATTGACGGTCCAGAAACCATCGGCAAAGACAAGACAAGTAAGTGACTCACTGCTGTGTCTGCTGTTGCCTCTAAAGGAAAAGGTAAGGGTTTCTCTTGCTCGAAAGCCAGTCGAATCCGACTCTAGGGGGCGGTGCTCATCTCAGTTTCCAAGCCGAACAGCCAGCGCTGTCCAGAGACTTCTCCGTGGTCATGTGGCCGGCATGACTGGATGCCGAGGCGCATGGAATGCTGTTACCTTCCCATCGAAGCAGTACCTATTTATCTACTTGCAATTTCTTGCTTTCGAACTACTAGGTTGGCAGGAGCTGGGGCCAGGAACGGGAGCTCACTCTGTCATGCGGCACTAGGGCCTCGAACTGCCGAACTACCGACCTTCCAGTCTGCAGTTCAGCATCTTAACCTCTGAGCCACCGTGGCCTTGTTGCCTCTACAGAGCGCCAGATCTTTACATTCAGTATATGCCGACAATGGCGAGGGGAGCTTTTTTAAAAATTTCCCCTTCCCCCTGAGACCTTCAGAGTTACGGCAGAGTTTGGGGCTGATCTGAACCTTGTAAACTCAGAATTTTTGTTGTTATCAGGCATGGCGCTGCAAGAAGCACAGCCTAATGCTAAGAAAGCCAGCCCACAAAATCCTCCTGGCAGCCGCTCAAGACACAGCCCTTTGCCTTCCAAGCTCCCTGATGAGTTCCAAGAATCCTGTTTGCAGTGGAACTCCATTCTCTCTCTCTGAATTCACCTCAAGGTTTGGGTGACAGGTCCTCTTAAACCAGTAGAGTCCTGCTTGACAGCTTGTATCACAGAGACCTCTAGAGGCAACACTTGGCAAGGGGCAGTCTGGCAAGTTCAAACTGATGTTGCTCCATGGTAGAACAGCTGCATTTCCTGCAGAAGGCCCCAGGTTCGATCCCTGGCATCTTCAGTTAGAGAAATTCAGGCAGCATGATGTAGTGGTTAAGAGCAGCAGACTCTAATCTGGAGAGCCGGGTTTGATTCCCCACTCCTCCACGTTGGGTGACCTTGGGCCATTTCTCCCGGAACGCTCTCAGCCCCACCTGCCTCACAGAGTGTCTGTTGTGAGTAGAGGAAGGGAAGGCAATTGCAAGCCGCTTTGAGACTCCTTAGGGTAGAGAAAAGTAAGGTATAAAAACCTTTAAAAAAAAATACCTTTCTCTGTATGAAAACCCAGGAGAGTTGCTGCCGGTCATAAGTCTAAATGAACCAATTCCAGTTTGGTATAGTGGTTAGGATTGCAAACTATAATCTAGGAGAACCAGGTTTGATTCCCCACTCCGTCACATGCAGCTGCTGGTGTGACCTTGGGTCAGTCATAAGCTCTTTCAGAGCTGTTCTCTCAAAGGCAGTTCTCAGGAGAGCTCTCTCAGCCTCACCGACTTCCAGGGTGCCTGTTGTGGGGAGGGGAAGGGAAAGGTGATTGTAAGCTGCTCTGAGATTCCTTCGGGTATTGAAGGGTGGGATATAAATCCGATCTCCTCCTCCTCCTCCTCCTCCTCCTGATAACTTCATATGCTGTACAGTGCCTAACACACCCTTTTTAGCAAGGTCAAGTGGCAGAAAGTAATACATTTAAGATAATTCAGCAATGGCAAGTAGAGAATCCAGGCAGGCAGTTATTCTGGGTTAATCATTCCAGAACAAAAGGGCATAGTCTTCTGCTTGCGATGATGAAGCGTCCGGGAGGGGGGGGGACTTTGAAATGCGGGATGTCCTTGCTGGAAGGACGTGTAAGAGTTTGCCCTTAGGGGCAGGGCCGGCTCACTCACTAGGCGAACTAGGCAATTGCCTAGAGCGGGCCGGCCCTTAGGGGCGCCAAGCTGCACCTGGCCTCGTACTCCGGAAGTTTCTTGATTATTTGTGTTTTTCATTCTTCCCAAAATGCATTTATTTTTGAAAATTGATGGGTGCATGGGGGGGGTGCCAGAAGGGATCCTCGCTTAGGGTGCAAAATAAGCTGGGGCCGGCCCTGCTTAGGGGGTGCCAAGTTAACCACGTGCTCTGCATCTGAGAACCAGTCCAGGAACCTTCAGTACGGGCCAAACGTTGTTATGGGCAAGATCGTCATCTCACTGTTGGCTGTCTCCTCCTCTTCTCCAGGTGCCTTGGATGGCAAGAAGACCTCTAAATGGATGAGACTCTTTTTGTGGATCTGCGGGATGGACCACAGAGAAAAAGACACTCCTGGAGCATCTATAGCTGCCAAAACTGAAGCTGCCGTGGCTCCGCCAAAAGAAGCGCCGTGGGTGAAGCACGTCCTCAACATCAACTTGATAGTGTGCATCGGTGCTGGAGTGTTCCTCTGGGCATACTTCGCGTAGCGCTTAGCTCTGCCCCCATTTAAGATAGATCGAGATGGGCCGTCGTGTCAGTCTGTCTGTAGAAGTAGAAAAGAGCAAGAGTCCAGGGGCACCTTCAAGACTATACAAACTATGTGGCGGGGGGAGCTTTCGTGAGGCACTGCCCATCTCATGAGTAATTTCCGTGGGTCTGAAGAAGTGAGCCGTGACTCACGAAAGCTCCTCCCCTGCCACAAATTTTGTTAGCCTTTAAGGCGCTCCTGGACTCTTGCTCTTTTCCACCCCATTTAAGAGACACTGTTGATACACACTTGGGTTCAAAATAACGAACGACTAAGACGGACTGTTAGCTTTTTATATGATGATTCTGTAAGACGTACGATCTGTTTCTTACATCCTAGAGAAAAGAAGGGCTTATGTCTCTTCGAAGCACTTGTGGAGTCCACAGGTGACAGGCAACGCTCCCTCTAAGCTGTGAAGTCTTGTGAGCAAAAATTCTACTTTGTGAGCTACTGGCATCAAAGTTGTCAGCCAGGGATTTGGCCCCTGCATAAATTAGTCTGCTCTGGAGCTCTTCTTCCTGAGCGAAGACAAAAATGTGCGAGCCGGAGGCTAAAAAAACTGTGAGCTAGCTCACACTAACTCAGCTTGGAGGGAACACTGGTGGCAGGGTCCATCGCAGCTTCAATGAAGTTATGGTCCAGGGATTGTGAAAGGCTTGCTTGGTAGAAAATAATTGTGGTTGTTTTGTTTTTTTAAGATGTTATTGTTGACATACACGTTTTAAATGGCACGGCCTTACTGACCACCAGTTGTGCCTCTTGTCTTTAAGAACATAAGAGAAGCCAATGTTGGATCAGGCCAATGGCCCATCTAGTCCAACACACTGTTACACAGTGGCCAAAAATACCAGGTGCCATCAGGAGGTCCAGCAGTGGGGCCAGTGGTAACATCGTGATACTTTGGCTTCAGTATCCGTGTCGTGCAGACAGCACGATTCCCTGTTTCAAAGGCAGATACTGGATGAGGCCGCGGAATTCTTTGGGAATGGGAGACCTTCACTCAGGGCATCCGATCCTTTCAGGCCCCAACTTTCACTGGTTCACTGTCTGTATAAAGAGGTCATGGGAGATCAGCTTTAGCACGGGGTCTTCTACCCACCCAACTCACAGGGCAATAATGACACTGTTGTGGTCTCTGTGCTGCATCCCTTTCATGGATAGCTGCTTTGTGGACATTTACGTTTAGTATTAAAGCATCAAACTGGAGACATTCCTGTACAGATAATGCCCTTGAGGGTGTGTCTGGATTGCAAAATTCAAACTGGTTTGGAACTCAACAGACTGCCATAGCATTCCTCGAAGAAAGAATCTTTCGATTTTAGCCTTTTGAGGAAAAGACACATGCTTTGCCAGGACAGACCGAGTTCCGTGAGTCTAGCATTCTGTTGCCAACATAAAACATTACCTCTGGGAAGGAGGATGCAAGCACAGAATCACAGAGCTGGAAGGGGCCATACAGGCCATCTAACCATCAGAGCTATAACTGTCCTCTGGATATTTATTTATTCACTATTTATTAAAATATTTCTGCCCCACCTTCCCTCTTGTGAACCCCAGACGGCTTATAGAAGTCTGCATGAGGCGGCCAACAACCAAAAACGCAACCACAGCTGTGACATTAAGGCCACCAAAATGGAAACGGAATCACAAGTCAGATCCACAAAGAGGCCTCCAACACAACCATGCTTCCATAAAGAATCAGCCAAATTGATCTGAAAATTAATTGCATTTTTTAAAAAGTTGACAAAGGCAGAGTCCTTTGGTGTAGTGGATAAGAGCACGGACTCTAATCTGGGAGACCCAGGTTTGATTCCCCACTCCTCCACATGCAGCTGCTGGTGTGACCTTGGTTCAGTTAAAAGTTCTCTCAGAGCTGTTCTTTCAAGGGAAGTTCTTGAGAGAGCTCTGTCAGCCCCGCCTACCTCACAGGGTGTCTGTTGTGGGGAGGGGAAGGGAAAGGAGATTGTAAGCCGCTCTGAGACTCCTTCAGGTAGTGAAGGGCAGGGTATAAGTCCAGTCACCTCTCTTCTTCTTCTTCAGCTCCTTAAGAGGGACAGCAAGAGAGAAACCCTGAGTTCAGGCAGCAACACAGCAAAAAATCTTGAGCATGGGAACAAAAAGCAAGAACGGAAGCTTCCGTTGGCTATCATGGACAACTGCATTTTGATAGACATGTTCAAACTATTGGCCATTTCTACACCTTGAGGCGAGGAACTCCAGGAGTTAATTTGCCCTGCCCTGGGTGGCCCGGGTTAACCTGATCTCATCAGCTCTTGGAAGCTAAGTAGGGTCCGGCTTGGTTAGCATTTGGATGGGAGACCACCAAGGAAGTCCAGGGCGGCCACGCAGAGGCAGGCAATGGGAAATCGTCTCTTGCCTTGAAAACCTTATGGGGTCGCCATACGTCACCTGTGACCCGACAGGTCTTTCCACCACCCAATCAGGCATTGTGAACAAAGAAGAAGAAGAAGAGGAAGAGATTGGATTTATACCCCGCCCTTCACTGCCCAAAGGTGTCTCAGAGCGGCTTACAAACGCCTTCCCCTTCTCCTCCCCACAACAGACCCCCTGTGAGGTGGGTGGGGCTGAGAGAACTCCGACACAAACTGCTCTTTTTCAAGGACAGCTGTGCCAGAGCTTGTGACTGACCCAAGGTCACATCAGCAGGTGCAAGTGGAGGAGTGGGCAATCAAACCTAGTTCTCCCAGACTAGAGTCCACGCACTTAACCACCACACCAAACTGGCTGTGTTCTGAACCTGAAGGTCTGTTCTGAACCTACTGTGATTTGATTTAATTGGGCACCGTGAGAAGGGATGCTGAGAAGACTCCTCCCAGAAAAGGCTAACTGGCTGGGAGCCATAACAGTTCACTAGGCTCAAAACTGGTTTACCTCGACCACCGTGCAGACATGCCAAAAAAACACAAAACTCATAGTTGCACTGAGAGTAAAATGCTATGTTCCCTTTTTGCCCCCTGTGTATATATTTCACCAATGGTATTGGATTCACAAGTGTTCTCATGTACAGCTTTTTATTTCTCTTCTTCGGTGTTCGGATAACTCCGCTTTAGGAAGTGGAACTAATCTAGGGTGCTAGTTCAAAAGGGCTGAGACTTCTCCTCGAAAGGTAAACGAGGAAGGCGGGAGGTGAGCTACTGGCATTAAAGTTGTGAGCCAGCAATTTGGCTCCTCCATAAATTAGTTTGCTCTGGAGCTATTCTTCCTGAGCGAAGACAAAAATGTGCAAGCCGGAGGCTAAAAAACTGTGAGCTAGCTCACACTAACTCAGCTTGGAGGGAACAATGGTGGCAGGGTCCATCACAGCTTCAATGAAGTTATTTATTTATTTGATTTATGGTCCAGGGATTGTGAAAGGCTTGCTTGGGAGAAAATAATTGTTTTTTTGTTTTTTTAAATAAATAGCTGTTATTGTTGACATACATGTTTTAAATGGCACGGCCTTACTGACCACCAGTTGTGCCTCTGTCTTTAAGAACATAAGAGAAGCCAATGTTGGATCAGGCCAATGGCCTATCCAGTCCAACATTCTGTGTCACACAGTGGCCAAAAATACCAGGTGCCATCAGGAGGTCCAGCAGTGGGGCCAGTGGTAACATCATGATACTTTGGCTTCAGTATCCGTGTCGTGCAGACAGTGCGATTCCCTGTTTCAAAGGCAGATACTGGATGAGGCCGCAGAATTATTTGGGAATGGGAGACCTTGACTCAGGGCATCCAACCCTTTCAGGCCCCAACTTTCACTGGTTCACTATCTGTCTGTATAAAGTGGTCATGGGAGATCAGCTTTAGCACGGGGTCTTCTACCCACCCAACTCACAGGGCAATAATGACACTGTTGTGGTCTCTGTGCCCGCATCCCTTTCACAGATAGCTGCTTTGTGGACATTTAAGTTTAGTATTAAAGCACCAAACTGGAGACATTCCTGTACAGATAATGCCCTTGAGGGCGATGTTCCCTCTAAGCTGTGGAGTCTTGTAAGCAAAAATTCTGCTTTGTGAGCTACTGGCATTAAAGTTGTGAGCGAGGGGTTTGGCTTCTGCTGCAGAGGGAGAGATTGTCTGGTTCTGTTGGTTTTGGGGTTTTGGGCACTGCCTGGCTCCTATGTGGACCTTGGATCAAGAGAAGACATCAGCCTGGTTTGAATATTATTAGGGCTAGGGCACTTAAAAATATATATATATTTGTGTTTTGGGGTCTGGGTGACCTCTGAAGAAGGCCTTATTGAGCCGAAACGCGTTAGGGCACAATAATTGGTCCTTGTGTGTGTGTCATATCTACTTCATAACGAGGCTTTCATTGAGCCCTTATATGTTTTTTAACTTTTCTCAAAATAAAATACATGCATTTTTACTTATAACAAGTATATATGAGGTTTTAAACTACTGGCCCTCTACCAGGTTTCTTTCTTAGCTTTTCGGTTCCTGATTCAATTTTATTGGGTTGATTTTTTCCCACTTCCCCGCGTCTTAGTGCTTCTCCACCAAAACAGGTTTTCAAGCTCACTTCTTAGTGTCAAGGTGCCTAACTGTAAGTGGAGGTTGAAGCTGAACTTCTGTTCTTTCAAAAGCCAGCCCAGGGGAAGAGGCCGCCTTGGTTTTTCGTTTGAGGCCAAACTGTGCAGACGTTCCGAAAAGCTACAAAAGCAAATACTTGGTTATTGGCATTGATTTCCTTCGAAAGGCTGAAGGCTCGCTTACGTGCTCGGGAATCCAAGCCGCTGGCCTCGGACTCTTCTCTCGGCTTCCGGAACTGGCATGCGGAACTAGGCGGCCATCTTGGCGATGGCCAACCCGGTGTCGAGGAACACGCTCCTCAGTGCCCTGGAGGAGATCCGGCGCCACCAGATGAAGGTGCCCCCTCAGCACCATCTCGTAGTTCTTGCCCCTAAACCCCCCATATTCTCACGGCCGCTAGCTGCCCCTTGCCCCATTTCACAGGTTTTGCCTCA